CAGGACCGAGTAAATTAATGAAGACGTAATGGTTGACAGGGTTGGCGGCTCGCTTCCTCTCGCATTCGCCTACTTGGCCGAATGCTGTCCACGCTCGACACGTGGCAAGTGGATTGGCATGCTGGTTGGGGCTGGCGCTCTGGGAGGCGTCTACGCGGCCCTCCTCGCCTGGGCGGTCGTGCCGACAACCGGCGAGATGGTCGTCCTCGAGAACAAGGAGCACTTTAGCGCCTGGCATCGCTTTCTCCTGCTCTGCTGCTTGCCCGCCCTTTGCGCTACAATTGGCCTCATCTTCCTGCCGGAGAGCCCACGATACCTCGTCGAGGTCGGCCGTGACGTCGAGGCCATGATGGTTTACCAGGTTGGTTCTCCGACGTTGCTTTTACGGCGGCTGCAAGGGAGCTAAAGAAGAGCCTGATAAAGCGAGAGAGAGATATTTCAAGTTATCAAAAATTAGTTTGCATGTGACGGAGGCTCGATTTATTTATAAATGTGCGTCTGTTGCACGAATAAATTGAATGAATTTGCTTGATTACTTGTTCGCTATGCATTAAAGTAATTGGATCATCGGCGCAACAATACGCACGATGAATTTTTTTATAAAGTAATGTCGAATAATTGTTGGATTTTATTCAATCGAATAAAATCTCTAATTGGTCCACGATAGTTAAATTCAAGTTTAATTTGTTCGTGATAGTCAATTAAACACATTCGAACAAGCGATAGTCTTAACGTGTAACCTGTCACCCAGTAGCAAACGTTACACCCAATTCCATTTAATTACCGGCCAATTAGCTCGTTCTTGTCTCTATCATCCCGACAGTCCTATCCTTAAAATAATGATTCTCTATTCACAGAGAATATACAAGAAGAACAATTCGCAAAAGAGTGCTGTAGGAGCGCAATATCAACTTTCTGAATTAGAGCTTCCAAATAAAAGGCCACGTGGTTTACCTCCACCATCTCCAGCTAACCGCAATACAAGTGTTTTAGCGGACATTATGCGTTCCATTTCAATGGTAAGTGTACTTAACGTAATAGTTTGAATGAAATTTAATTGAGATATTAATAATGTTGTGTATTCTTTGTAGTTTTGGAGTTCTTTTCTGGAATTATTTTCATCTCCTCACTTAAATGTAACGGTAATACTTCTAGTCATTTGGTCAGCCACGGCATTTGGGTAAGTTTCAGCAGAGTCTATACATTTTACAAAATTAATCAATCACGCGCACAAACTAACCCGAACCATTGGCATTTACAGTTTATATGGATTAATGGTATGGTGTCCGGAGTACCTTAAGCTTTTAAGATCCATCGAGTACGAATCTGAAACAAAGAAGCTGGTTGGCAAGGAATACGTGGACAAATTGTTCACTGGCTCCCTGGAAAACATTCAATACAAAGACTCGAAATTTCAAAACTGCAAGTACGACACTCTTACCCTTTGTCACAAGACCCTTTTTGCACGTACAATTATAAATTGCCCGTTATGTGTAATAATAAAGGTAACGTTCTTCTCTAGATTTTCCAAAATCGTATTCAGCCACGTAGATTTCGATAATTGCTCGTTCCAATCGGTGGAATTCAGCAGTATAAAATCCAGCAAGACGCACTTTACCGACAGTACAATCGTCGATTCTAAGTAAGTGATTGACAAAGTCGTTGGTGTAAATCCACCTCGTCACTAATGCGGCCACACTTTTATCCTTGACGATCCTCAGGTTTATCGACACCGATCTCTCTGCCCAAGTCTTCACTAGATGCAAATTAGAAAATAATACGGAGCTCAGTCTAAGCGGTCCCTGCCCGACTCTCGACTTGGATTACAACATTTACATCGAAGAAGCGTTGTACGGTCACCTTGCGGCCCAGCTTGCGTTCATACCAGCGGCTGCATTGGCTGGGCTGGCGCTCACTGTCCTTCAGCGGCCAAAAATGATCGGTCCGTCTTACGAACGATTTTCATTTATCGAACGGGCCATTACAAGGCTCCGGATAATATACGCCAGACGGCGGAGTAAAGATTTCCAAAATCCGCCGCAATAATGAAAGTCTCAACGAGTTGATACGAGATTTTGTGTAGGAATCCCAGTTGCCGATCCCAGCCGTGGATCCAGCTAACATTGCTGGACACACGTGCAACATTATTATATCCACCCCCATCCCCATCCCCATCCCCATCCAATAATAATCTTAATTCAATGTTTTAAATTGTTGTTATTCTTGGTAGCGCTAACAAGCTTTTTTTCTCTCATTTTTTTCTTCGTTTTGTTTTGTTTTGTTTTGTTTTGGAAATCTATACTCCTAATAATGCGCAACAAATGAGCATAATTATTGATGAAATGTATCTTGACGTTATAGGTGTTTCGTTGTACCTTTCTTCAATCGCTGCACTTTGTCTATTATTGGTTAAAACAAATAGTACAGCCGTCCTTGGCTTCGAAGGGGGATTCATCGCAGTATTTGCAATCGCTTGGACATCTTTGGCACTTGTAACCGTCGAATGCTATCCTACTCATTTAAGGTAAGTTCCCCTCGCCCCCATCCCCACCATCACCAGCCTAAATCTAATGATTACATTGAAATTTCTAGAAGGATTTGTTCCAATAAAATTGAAAGAGCAAAAAAGTATATGTAATATAATCATCAAGATGTGTCATACGCAAAATCTTAATTAATGACGCGTCATGTTTTACGTATTTCCAGCCACACGGGGCTCGCGAATCTTACCGTTTTTCCTTTACTCCCTTACGGCAAGGATTTTTCAAAATACAAAAAATTCCGTCCTTCGATGTGCAATAATAATTGCATTGACAAGGAATTAAGCTGCTCAATTAAAACAGACTTGGGTAGGCGCATTCGATACATGTTTAACCTATCGATTACAGATGTACTGGCTTCGGACTGATGGCAGCCGGCATTCGGATATCCGGTTTAATAGGAACGGCGACGTATCAGACGCTCGTAGGTGCGCCTCTGATCGCACCTGCCTTGCTAACAGCAGCCGCCCTCCTAGTAGCCAGCATCGCGACCCTCAAATTGCCTCAGACGCATACGGTCTTCTTATAAACATCGGGAGATAAAGGGACGTATGCAAGGACATTGTGAGATACGTATCCAAAGAAAATTCGGCACTCGGCATCGTTGATCGCCAACGTGCTTGTACGGGGATGAGCCGAGAACGAGCGCCTTACGAGTGACCGATTCGTCGATGCAGCGGTGAGTCCCGAGAATCTTCGAAAGCGAGAGAGTGAGAGAGAGAGAGAGAGAGAGAGAGAGAAAGAGAAAGAGAAAGAGAAAGAGAAAGTAAATGCTTCTCTTCTCAGTTTCCATTCTTTATAGGGCTGTGGTGAAGCAATGGGATGCCGTAGATCCTTTGCGTGGCTTTTCGAATGGACCCGATTTCTCAGAGAGTGAAATATAAGGATAGGAGCGAGCGATGTGTTTGGCCGATCAACTGCTTTCGTTAAGAGTAATAATATATCTAATTGGCGATTGCTTGTGTTAAATGTAATTGCTCGACTCTCTAAAATGTAATATAGTAGGGATCCTGATGAGCGTTGACTTATTTATCTTTTGTTAAGAGGTGAAGAGGACAATGGGATATTATTAGCCTTAACAAAAGACAAATGGCGCCATTCATGTTTGTTTGTCGTCAATTTCATATGATAATAAAATTTCGTAATCATGTAATTTTGGTAAAAAGGGCGTATGATAAGGAAATTAACCAATTTCGAAAGATAATCGAGAGTATAGAATGTCGACGGTATTGTAATTCAATTGAAATATGGTATAAACGTACGGGATATTTTGTTAAATTATAATGGAATCCGATTGGCGAGATAGTGAAATAAAAAAAGAAAGCACGAGTTTCGCTAAAATGTCGAAATGATATTACGTGTCAGTTAAAATGATTAAAGACAAGTTGTATAAGTTTATTGTCATATCGTTATTTATGACGACGGACTTGGCTGGTTCGAACATTAAAGTGAGCATGCATAAAGTGAAGAAAAAAATCTTTTTTTAACTTTAAAATGTTAATGAGTGTATTTGATGAAGAAAGGAAGAAAGAGAAGCAAAAACAAAAAGGCCAATTAATATTCATTCGTCAAAACTCCGTTGTATACGTCGATCACACGATATCAGAATATGAAACAATTGGATTCAATTAGTTTAAATTAAATTAAATTTAATATCCATAAATTTCCTTGGATTGAAATTGCTCGTTCAAACTCCTTCTTCTAACGCGTATTTATTTATTTCTAATGCCGCGCACCCTTCTTGAAACATTTAGATTTACAAGATTAGAATACAATTAGTTTTATAATTTTTTTTTTTTTTTTTTTTTTTTTTTTTTATTATCGTGCATTCATTATGATTTTTTAACCAGGATTAACGGTTGCTGGAATCACGAGTCAAGCTTATCGGCACAAAGATTTATATTATACGTTAGGTATAAAAGAACGAATTTCAGAGTTTTAAGTTAATATTTCTAGTGATTGTTGCATTTTCATAGGCAGCTTCGAATCAATCCAAAGCTCGTTTTGAGAGAGAAAAAGAAACAGGAAAGACTATTTTAATACCGTAATATTCAATGAAGGTTGTTGCGGAAAATATTCCCGTTGTATGCTAAAGTAAGATGGATTTATCGAGTCATGGGCGACTGGAAATTACACCGGAGGGAGGAAACGTACTTAGAAGGATAGCTTTTTGCTTCGAGACCGACCGAATAGATTTTATTTAATAACTCCTGTATTGCACCGAGGATAATATCATTTTCAATCCAAATAAATCACTCTGCTTTAGTCCCTTATAACATAGACTGTTTAGACATTTGTTTTTAACATCGGAATTGTTTAATTAATAATTTTCTAAAATATTATTATGTAGTAGAGGCAGAAACGATGTTTTTATTCAAGAATACGAATGAAAGTACAAGAGAATTGTAAAGATAGTTGAGAGGAAAATAATTTCTACGAAATATAAATATATTTATAGTTGTATAAATTTGCTTAAGCAGACAGTTAAATTAATTTTATATAAATATCTTAAAATTTGACTAATATCTACGTCACGGTCACGCGCATCCGACCCCCCCCCCCCACACACACACACAACAAAAAAAAAAGATTTCTCCAATTATTGTTTTTTATGAGCGAATGCGATGAAAGTGGCAGAAGGTCGGAAAAATCTTGCAATGCGCTGTCAAATTTTAAATGTAAAATATTTGGATAATTAAAAAGCCTTACGAGCGAATTTTTAATATAGATGTTATAATATTCTGTCAATTGAAATGAAAGAAACGTGTGAGAAAAACGATGCAATTACATCGATGATAAATCGTTTGTAAGATATAAAATAGTCTTGGTGTTAGTATCGACATTTTACACGAAGCTTTTTCACTGAGAAATTTCAATGAGAAATTTGCGCGTGAACTCGTCCGTCTCGTACGATTGTCAAAATTCGGAAAAGAGAAAAAAGAAATATTCCACCGAACTTGTATTTCTAGACGATATGTTACCACTTTTCTACTTGAAACCGATGACATATCACGTAGACTTTTGGCGACACGCTTATTTACATCTCATTAATTGCTTGCCAATGATAGGTACAAAGGACATGTTGCAGCAATCTTAAGGGAATAATTAGCAATTATGACGACTATATAAGGAGTAAATCGAACATTGAAAGATCCGAAATTTAGAATTTATCAGCCTATCGGTCGTTCCTCAACAGTCATCCCCACGACATATAACACAGCAATGCTAACCGAAAATTTTTAATAAAAACTGGCGATTGTTTAAAAATTATACAAGATGAAAGCAGCCTTTACGTTTTGAAAGATTTCAAATATCAAATTATCCCTATTTTACGAGGTATGAAATTTTGAATTTCAGATTTTTTTTTCTCTTCAAAATTCATACGCGATCAATGCGCGAGGGAACAAAAGGACAAATACTCGCTTAATTTTTCTTACGTGTCCATTCATATTGAAAGATTTTCAACTCTCATATCAATAATATATCACGTCACGGTTTCATTATCGCTATCTTCGAAGAAATAATGTACTACTGCAGTGTGTACGTAGTCTCCATTGGACATTCATTAATCGTGTTCGAACATTCGCATTTATACATTATATCTCATATTATCTGATAATCAATTAATAATGTTAAAGCTCAGATATATGCTCGCAATGAAAACAAAAAAAAAAAAAAGAAAAAAAAAAAAAAAAAAAAAAAAAAAAAAAAAAAGAAAAAAAACAAAATAATAATAATAAAATTAAATTAAAAACTGACGATACAAAAGGATTATTAATAACATGAAATTCAATATGATAAGCAATTACGATGGATGGGTGAATAGTGTTAACAAATTTTAATAGGAGGAAGAGGCTTATCTTCGATAATGATTAAGGAATATTGATTTTATAAAATTATTGTACGTATAAACAATTGTATCCTTGTACAGCCTTTCTCCATTCCTTTTTCTCTTGGTTTTCTAAAGTCATGAATTTTTTCTAAAACTTAACTCGACGACGATAATTACGAATATAAAGATTCTTACAATCATTTTTCGCTAATATAGGGTGAAAGCGGCACGTGTTATTTATTAAAACGAGAAACTAAATAAATAAATAAATAAATAAATAAAATAATAACAATATAAAGAATTACAATCGACACTTTTAATTATTAAATATTCTATTGAGGCTTTCATAAATAATTATTTCCAATACGATGCAATACGAAAGTAAACGATCGTATTTGTCTTATCGACTTATTCATTAATTTTATCGAACTATTATCGTAGGAGAGAGTGTAGCTTCGCAAACATTCCGCCTATACATTAAAAGTAATGTCGAGTAAAGTTTGTTACTACGGGAAAGTTAGAATGTAATAGTTAGTATTACAAGTTAAATTGTTTGTATTGGATTTCCATGCCAAATTTCATCTGGTTTTAATATTTTATTTAGCACCAATTTTGGCACCGCAATTTCCTCATTCGAAATTAACTTTAAGACTTTTTTAAAGTGCACTTTGGCCTTTTAAGCTTCTTTAACGGCCAAAAAATTGTACATATGTTTTAAAATCGAGTCTTCGCTTTCAACTTTGAACTTAACGCTGACAATTTTATTTAACACAATTTTATACCTCACCTACGGGAATACAAAACACTGTACTCCGACGAATAGAAAAATATTAATTTATCGAAGAATTTTTGCTCAACTAAGTTTTTACGTTAAATATATTCTTGATGAATTATTGTAACTCGTTTGTATTTCCTTTAAGTCGATTAAATAATTCCATGTACATTTTCAATGAGGTTTTTTCTTGTTTTTTTTCTTCTTTTTTTTTTTTTTTCCTTTTTTTTTCTTTCTTTGAAATTGTAATATTCGTGTATGTATTGTGCATTGTGGTGATTTTAATATTTTTTTTTTTTTTTTTTTTTTTTGAAGATAAATTAATGAGCGTTTCTCGAGCATTTCCTCTTTTTTTGTTTTTACTACTATTATTATTATTATTATTATTATTATTATTATTATTTATTTATTTTTTTTTACTTTGTTGCTAATTTTCGATGATTATTCTTATTCTTATTAATCTTTATGTTTATTAATAAATGAATATGCAGAGGAATAGTTAATAATTAATTACTGGGACAATTTTCTTTGAAAGTTGAAATATTTTCATTTTCACAATATTCTGAATAACATGAAGAATAAAAAGTCCTAACTTCTGAATTTGCCAACAATGATGTAATAATGCTACACTCTAAAATTGTAATTTAGTCCTTTTCGTTTTTTCTTTTTTTCTTTTCCCTTTGTTAATAATTAAAATGATCTGATATCAATACTCATATAATGAAATGATAAATGTATTAATGATAAATAATTCATAGAGAGTTTTATATTTGTACGATAATCATCTAAGAAGATATAAAATTTTTCATGTAACGGACATTAGTCAGTAATGATTATTAATCTATTTAATTATTACAGTCAATGATAATAGAGGTAAAACGTCTAGTGCGTCCATTGTTATTAAATTAATAAGTGCGTCATTCGGAATAAAATGGAGAAGAAATAATAATAAAAAATATGGAAGAATAATGAGAGATGAATTGTTTTAGACGATACCATGAAAAAAATTGCATTAAAAACTATGGAAAGACTATAGAATTTGACAGTGACTTGTAACTTATTCGATTTACTAAAAGTTAGTTTTCAAAATGTTCAAACATACTAACATCATTAATTATTAAATTATTCAGGCT